CCTTCTTCCTCCTGATTGTAAATGTACCTGATGATCAGTTCCCTCTGTGAAGAGATACATATTTTCAACCCTGAATAAATACTAGTTATGCAATGTTTTTGAGCTGTATTCTCGGTATACACATGAGCCTTTAGGCGAGTGTATATAACAAGGAAATACAAGCGACAAGTGGGATATCCCATGGTATACGACAAGAGAGCGTTGCATAACTATTTTATATCATGCCATAGAAAATACAGTGGCCAACACTATCAATGCGACATACGCGCGGCGCACGCGCGATGAGAAGGCAACGGCTTTCCTTTACTCTGATTGGCTGTATTTTCTATGGCATGGTATAAATAATAAATATCCTAAACCTCTTATCTTTCCTCTACAAGTCAGTTTTGGATGAGATGTTTTGGGATCAGCGTGGTGTCATTATTAAGGACATCCTGTAAGTTCTCCTCTTCTAGTGATGATTTGTTTGGTCATTATCAATATTCTTCTATTCTTTTCACCCGATAGAGTGAAACGAAATCGCGTTTTCAAATGCACTACTTTACTACTAAAACCGTAAAAGTTACAGGTGTGTTGTGAGTGAAAACATAAAAATCAAAATAACTGGACAGGTTTACCTTTTGAACCTGGTGTAACTGCAGGACTCCCAATGCTGGAGTACTGGCTGACAATAATGGGTTGCTTGTAACCATCAGCTAGGTTGGAGGCGACTTGTGGAACAGACTCAGCAGAAACCAAAGGAAATGCATTTGGTTGTGTGGCATCGTTATTGTTTGTTGCGTCAACTTCGTTCGATGTGATCTGCTGTTGAATAATAACCAAATCACTTCACAGAAGTTTCGTTGCACAAATCAGTTTTCGGGCCGTTTGTTACCTCGTCTGGGCAGAATGAAATGTCCTCTCCTCTGTCATATTCGTTGTTCGTTTGCTTGATTCTACAACATAAAGAGTGAATTAGACATTTGTTTTTAAGTCAAAGCATAAGGGGCTGTAAAAGCAACACGTGCCATAGATAAGTACTTGGAGCAGAAATAATGAGTGTTACAATCCATCAAAACTCCAAACGCTAAAGTTTGCGTTTTGAGTCCGAACTGTCAGTCACTGTCAGTCCGCAAATCGGTATTAGCTTTTGAACAGACTAGCAAGACGTCCGATCATCAGCAGAATTATTTTTGCTGTTTGACAGCTTGGTCGTCTGCAGGTTGACCTTAGCTTCTGCGTAAAAAATTATTAGGATGATAAATAGTGGAGGTGTCACAGGTCACATAGCTTGGTTAAGGCATTCAGTTATATAGTTAGTAGGGGAGCAGAGCGAAAAACGGCGAGAGAAAAAAAAAAACATAAAGACAAAAAAAACAAAAAACAAACAAACAAAAAAAACAGGGAAGAGGGACAAAAAAAGGGGAAAAAAGGGGAAAAGGTTTTAAAAAGGAAGGGGAGGAAAACACAAAGAAAGGTGGATTTCGAGCGATTCACCGTTTTTTCGCATTGCTCCACAACTAATCGAACGCCTGGAACAGGTATCATCCACTGAGCTTATAGTTTTACTCTAGCGTCACTGTCAGAAAACTGTTCTCTTTTAGGAATTGAGAATGTCCACCTAAACATTTCGCGCTTGAAGAAGGCTTTTGTTTATTTCGTAATTTTGACCACTAACGTAAATACTCTTCTCTTTGTACCGTGTAGTTTTAATTTCTTATTATGGAAGTCAAGTGCTTTTATCATTAATTTAAATAAATGCAACAACCTTCTTCTGTATGGTTATAATAATAATAATAATAATAATAATAATAATAATAATAATAATGGCATTTCGGGCAGTATATCCACAG